CAAACTAATAGGGGGTTCCTAAACTAAAAACACTGCTTTATAATACCCCATATAAAAATTAATATGCACTAATTGATCTAAACGCGCTGCAATGATTAAGTAATTTGCGAGACGTGCAGCTTGAACCATCCGGAGCCCAAGGAAGTGCAGTTTCAAGGATCACAGAAACGCCTCTTTTCTAAATCAAAACCAAAAGCATGTGCTCATAAAAATATCTTCAAGCCTAAGTCTCACTGCTTCAACACAGCAGGTGACAATAAAATAACTGTACAAAAAGACAGCTGCGAGGAACTTTTGGGTGAAGTCTTTGCACGTCCTGGAAGACTTGCGGCTTCGTGTCAGGCCCTCCTAGTGCTGAACATCAGCAAGGAGCAGCAGGAGCCCTCCTTCCCAAAGGAACAGCGAGCGATGCCTCCCAGGCAGGAGCAGAAGTTCCCCAAGGGCAGTGACCAGGGGAGGGAGAGGGCAGCACACTGCCCCAGCCCCACAGCCGCGTGTCCCCGCGGGAGGAGCGGCCTGCCTCCGCGGGGACACGGAGAAGCCGGAGGGCACAGGGGGGGACAAAAGGAGCTGTTCCCGGCCCAGCTCCCTGCGGGAAGACCCCGGCCCCGCTCCAGCCCCGAGGCCCCGGCAAGGGGCGGCTCCAGCGGCGCTCCCCGCCATGGGAAGGGGCGGCACCGGGGAGACCCCACCACGCCCCCCCTCCCCGCGGCCAGGCCTGCTCAGGGCCCCCCAGGCCGCTGCCCCCTCCCCGGCCCGGGCCCCCTCAGCCCGCCCCCCTTACGTGTTGTCCTGGTTGAAGTTGGCGAAGAGCAGATGGCCGCTGCCGGCGTCGCCGCTCTGCCCGGCCAAGTTCATGGCGGGACGGCCCTCGCCACCCCCGTCCGGCGGGGGGAGGACGAGGAAACACCTCCGGAAAGCTGCGCCCCTCAGCCGCGGCCGCCCCGACCCCGCCGCATCCCCGCCGGGCCCTTGTTTACGCGGCGGGCGGCGGAGCGGCCCCCGCGCCTGCGCCCTGCGGCCCCTCCCGGCCGCCGTACGGCCACTGCGCCTGCGCGCGCACGGCGGCGCCGAGCGGAACGTATTGCGAAGCTAAGCAGGGCCCGCCGCGGACGGCGGTGGATGGGAGACCCGCAGTGACCCCCGGCTCGGGCGCGTCCCCGCTGTCCCCAAGGCGAGCGCGGCCACCACGGTCCTGTCACGGTGGCCACGCGGTCACAGGGTCACACCCCGCGCTGTTCCCGCCCGCCCGTGCTTGTGCAGTTCCGCTTCGTGCCACGGGGTGTCCCCGAGGCTCAGCAGATGAGCGAGCGGGAGCTCCGGGCTTGGGAAAAAGGAAAAAAAACCCAAAAACAAACCTTGGGGCTGCTCAGCCTGGAGAAAATTGCGTGCAGACATCAGAGCAGCCTTCAGTATCTCAAGGGGCTCTTGGTCAGCATTTGTAGGAATAGGACAAGGAGTAATGGGTTCACATTGGAAGGGGAAATGGATAACACAGAAGGAATTCTTTACTGTGACGATGGTGAGGCACGGGAACAGGTTACCGATGCACCCCCAGCCCTGACAGTGTCCAAAGCCAGGCTGAATTGAGCATCCTTCAGTGGGAAAAACCAAAAAACCAAATGACAACCAAAACCAAAACAAACATCCCTCCCCTCCCCCCCCCCCCCAAAAAAAAACCAAACCCAAAACGAAAACCAAAAATACCCTAACAAAACTAACAAAAACACCAAACCCACCCAGAACTGAAAAAAACGATTTCTGGAAATGGGATCAAAATCAAGGGATTACTACAGGAAAAGGTAAATCTCACAAAGATGAGCCACCAGGTGTTGGGTTTGTGCCTCTGGGGCCAGCTGGCTGCAGAGGGTTCCTGAGTGATGCCCATGGAGCAGTGTGGAGTGACGGAACCTCCCCCTCACCAGCCTGCAAGGCAAAAGCTGCTCCCCTCCAGCTGCTGGCACGGAGACCCCTCCAAATGGCTCAAACCCAAGTGGCTGTGTCCCAGCTCCCTGCTACCCTGTGTCCACCCTGGTGTCCACCAGAGCCAGTCCTGTCCCCCACATTGCCCCACATTCACCTCTGCCTCTGCTACACCTGCTGCCAACACATCCACGTGTCCTGTAGGTCTTTCTACCCATCCAAAGCTTCTTTTTTTTCCCGGGGAGCTTTTCCCTGCTGATGCAGATTTAATATCAAATTGTCTCTTTTTATACCTGTTGGCTCGGGCAGTTTCATGTGCAGAAAAATGTCTCTCCCTGGGGAAATGGGATCACAGCGTGTGCTGCCAGGAGAGCCCAATGCTGCCGTCATTGCAAAGGTGTGGATCCTCACACTGTTCACTGCTGGGATCTCCCAGAACCCTTCATCGGGGGACAACGCACAGAGGTGTCCCCAGCTGTGGGAATCCTGCAGAGAATTACAGAATATCCTGGGATAGAACACTCACACAAGGATCAGAGTCCAACTCCTGGCCCTGCACAGACACCCCGACAATCCCACCCTGTGCCTGAGAGCAGTGACCAAATGCTCCTGGAGCCCTGGGAGCCTTGAGGCTGTGACCATTCCCTGGGGAGCCTGGTCAGTGCCTCACCACCCTCTAGGGGAAGAATTTTTTCATAATATCCAAACTAAACTTCCCCAAACAGCTCCAGCTGTTCCCTTGGGTTCTGTCACTCGTCACCAGTGAGAAGAGATCAGAATGAAGGAAGAAAACATCCCTGGGCTTCATGAGCCGTTCCTCAACTAAAGGAAAACTCTGCAAATCCCCCCTGTTTTGGTGACATCAAAAAACCCTGATTGTATTCAGGGTACCCCAGAATATTGGAATTTCCCCTTAACACCCTTACAATTTCTCAGATCTTTGCGAGGTGGGGAGTGCACCTCGCAAATGGGAGAGGAAAGGGAAACAAGCTGGGTTCATGGGCAGAGTACACGAGGAGAGCTGCTTGTGCAGGGAGGGGACACATCCCAGTGGGGTACAGATGGTGTGAGTGTGGGCATCTCCACACGCCACCTGGGAGCAGCCCCTGGCTGCCTGTGATTCTCTGTCTGCCAGGTTTGGAGGTATTGCTGGGGCTGGAGCCATTCCCCAGCACGATGCTCGAGGCTTTGGTTGCCATAACAACTGGATTCAGGCTTCAAAAATAGTAACTTATTTTTCATTCAATTTGCCTTTTGCCCTCTGAGACGGATCTATTTTGAGACGGTTGGTTTGCTTCAGGTGTCCCTTGCCAGCACCCTCGGCTGGGGGCTTTGGGGATGGGGGTTATTTTGTTAAATGTGATTTAATGTCCTTTCTTCTTCCTCTCCTCTTCAGGCCCAGAGAACAGGTACAGCAGGGCACAAGAATCTTGACATAGGCTCTGCCAGAGCTCATCATCTGGGGAAGGAATTTGAAAAAAAAAATCTTCCCGGCTAAGTGGCAGAGCGTGGGAGAGGTTTTTAGAGATGATCTCACTCTGCATCTCAGCTTGGACCTGCCACTCTCAGCCAGGGCTTGGCTGTCCCAGATATCCTACTGAAGATGGGGTTTATTTTGTTGCCCCTGCACCTCCTGGACCCCGCTGCCACCAGCATGGTCCCCACTGGTGTCTTCCACAATGGGAATAATACAGGAGGGTTAAACCTGCTGCTGGCTCCTGGGGTGCTTTTTGTGTGCCTTGGGGACACCCCAAAATGCAGCTGCACCTGCAGCATCCCCTGAGGGATTGAACTGCTTTTGGAAGGGGTTGCAGAGGGTGCCAGGATTAATTAATGCCTTGAATTAAGGGACTCCTTCCTTTTTGTCTGCTTTGGCTTTTGGAAGGCCTATGTGTGCTCGATTTCCCATGGAAATGGCCCCACAAACACAACTCTTCTCATCAAGGTGTTCTCGGCTGTTCCACCTTCAGCATTTCCACAGCTTCAGCAAGGAGAGGTGGTGTTGGGGTGACCATGACTCTGTTGCTCCTCCTGAACCCTTTCTTGTTCCTCAGCTGCTGGCCTGAGGGTGCCTGCAGTCCCTGGCACAGAGAGGGCAAGGGTGACACCCATCTGCCCCCAGACGAGCCCCCATCACCTTTTGTGTCCCCTCTCTGCGCTGCCCAACCTCAGATGTCCCTCGGGATGTCACCTCCTGTAGGAGCCTCTTTGAGTGATGCAGAGGAGAGAAGGGTGAAGGCTTTAGGGTTGAGATGGGCAGATTTTGGGGCCCTTAATCCTTGCCTTGCTGTCGTGCTGCTTTGTCCCCCTTCTCCAGAGCAGGGAGGGATGGTGGGGTGCTGGATTTGTGCCCCCACTCCCCAGGGGCACCACGCTGAGGCAGAGCCACCTACCCTAGCTGGGGCCTCTGGAAAATAATGGGGAAAAAAAAAATCGTTACAACCAAATAAACAAAAGCAAAGCCAAACAAACCAGCTCCTTGGGGATGGCGCTGCCATCCTCGGGGGGACCCGGCCGTGGGGAGCGGGGCCGGGGGGAGCGGGGCCGACTGCCGGCACTCGGCACTCTCCCCCTCCCCGATGCTTTAATCACATTTTCAATTCAAATCTGCTGCTATTTGATCCCCCGGGGGTGGCAGCGGGGAGGGTGGGGGATATTTTTAGCTGTGCTTAAAGCTGCCGGGGGGCGGAGGGAGATCGCGCAGGTTGCTGTGGCCGGGAAGAGTTGGAAGGGATTCCCCCCCCCCCACCACCACCCCTCTTTCTTCTTTTCCTCCTCCTCCTCTTCCTCCTCCTCCTCTTTGCACATCTGAGGGCGGCAGCGGGGCTGGCTCTCCCCTCCCGGAGGTCGCCTTTGTTTTCCCCGTGTCGCTTCTCCCGAGCAGCCGAGGGGGCGGGAGGGGGCCGGGGCCGGGCTGGGCTGTGCCGGGCTGGGCTGAGCTGGGCTGGACCGGCCGCCCCTTCTCGTCCTCGCCCTCCGGAGCTCGCCGAGTTGGTGCCGTTCCCCCGGGCAGCACTTTCCCCCCGCCCCGGGGCTGAGCAGCCGCCGCTCCCCGGGACCCCCATGGCACCGCCGCGATGTTCGTGTCCCGGCTCCTGGATTTCCAGAAGACGCGCTACGCCAGGTAAATCCCTCGGTGCGGCGGTCCCCGACCCCCGGTGCTCGCGGAGCCCCCGGACAGCCCCAGCCCCTCCCCGGGATGGAGCCCGAAAGGATCTTCGAAAGCTGCCGAGTGCCTCAAAGCACAGGGCAAGTGCGGGCTGGGCTTTCGGCTACCTGCTTTTCTGCATCCCTAAAGGATTCTCAGCATCCTTGGGAGCCTTCGCTGCCTTTCGCTGGGTCTAACTTCACCGCGACTCTCTCGCTGCCGGGAGAGCAGGATCCTGCCTTCCCAAGAGGACAGACCCTAGCGCTGGCTCCGAACCCCCATGGAGGGACCAGTGTGGTCCAGAGTCCCGCTGCACCCGGGTGAAACCCCCTCGGGGCGGCTCTCCCAGCCTGGACCCGCAGGCTCAACAGGCTTCCCATGGGATGCACCGGCGGTGGATCCTTCTCTCCTTCCATCAAACCCCCAGGGAGGCTCCCCAGCAGCAGCCGGGACTTGTTTTAAAAGCTCAGGTGTAGCAGGAAACCTCCCGGTGTTACCTGTGCAGGGGGAAACCTGAGGATTGCTGAGCACAGGTCAGGGGGCACTTGGTCACACGCGCTGCTGCTGGATCAGATGTGGCCTTGAGAAAGGAGCTGGCAGGTGACACGGGGACAGCGCCAGCCTGCAGCCCTCTGCTCCCCGGGTGGCCGGGATGAGTCAGATGGCACCGGGTGCTGCACAGATGGGGACCAGGGGGCTGCTGGGGGTGCTCAGCTTTGCTCCCAGCTCCCTGGCACTGTGCTGGGGATGTTTTTCTGCCTGCGTAGGGTCCCACAGGTTGGCACAGCTCCTGGGGACATTGAGCTCTGTGCTGACACTTCCAGAATCCCCGTGGTCCGGTTAGGGGCAGATATCAGAGGAAAACTTGTGTGAAAAGAAGTGGTGATGGTATTTCTCATCTGCTCCAGGCAGGATGATCCCTGAGGGATGTTTATCTGGGCTGGGTAAGGACAGGAAACCATCCTCCGACCCCCTCCGGCCATCAGCTCCTTTCCTTCCAGGTATCCCATGGGGAAAATCCATGCTTGCATCTCCAAAACCTTCCTGAAACGTGGCCACTTGCTCAAAGACCGTTTTGATGCCGTAGCTGCCTCCTGACAACCTTTGCTTGGGGCAGAGGCAGGAGGCAGCCAGCAGATCTGCACAATGTGCCTGGTACAAAACCTTGTGAAAATGGAGAATTCAAGACTTCCCCCCAACCCCCCTCAGTTGGTATGAGAAGGACAGAGCTGGGGGAAACGGAGCTGAGCAAAGCTCTGTACCCCCCAGAGCACCAGACAAACCATGCCTTTAACCCATGGCAGGGGTGCAGAGGCTCTTTGGGAGCTGGGCAGCAGATCAGGGGCTGCTCCACTGGCAGCAGCCTCCCCCAGCAGAGCCCATATGCCAACCTGTTGCTTGATTTATCCCGAATCAGCATGTTCCAGCCTTGTTGTGGTCCTTTCTGGAGACAGCTTGTTAAATGGGATGAGGCATTACAGAGAGCCTTGCAGGGATGGCTCCCACATGCAGGGCAGGGGCTGTGGGGTACAGGAAGGGTCAGATCCACAGGGAATCCTCCAGCTCTCACTGTGTGCCACGGCTGGGGAGCAGCAGGAGGATAAGGGTGCTCCCTTGGCTTTCACCCCAAGAAAACCACCAGCACGTGATGCTAACCCAGAGCTTCCTGTACCATCACAGAGATCCTCTTAGCCCAGTGCTCAAAAATAACAGTGGGATAATCCCTGTCCCCCCCACACTCCCTGCAGCTTTGCTCTCCATGGAAATGCTCTGCTGGGGCATAACCCAAAAGAAACCCTAAAGCTGCTTCTTCCTTTGTGCCAGGGATGCTCTTTCAGCTGAGCTCTGACCTGGGAATTGGGGTGAGCAGAAGCCAGGGGACTCATGGTGGCACATGTCCTTCAAGGCAGCAGAAGCATCTCAAATCCTGTGTTGTTTTCACTGCAGGAAAAATGTTGGGGGGCTGGAGCAGGTCCAGGGAAGGATAAAGGAGCACAAGTCTGATAAGGAACAGCTGAGGGAGCTGTGGGGGGCTCAGACTGGAGAAAAGGAGGCTTGGGAGGGAATTTCTTACTGACCACAACTCCCTGACAGGAGGGCGCAGCCAGGTCAGGCTCTGCTCCCAGGGAACAAGGGACAGGATAAGACAAAACGGGCTCAAGATGCACCAGGGGAGGTTTAGAATGGATATTAGGAAAGATTAAAACAGGCTGCTTAGGGAGGTGGCTGAATCCCTGGAAGTGTTCAAAAACACAGGTGGATGTGGCACCTGGGGATGTGGTTTAGGGGTGAACATGGCAGTGCTGGGCTAATGGCCAGACTCCATCTTAGAGGTCTTGTCCAACCTTAACAATTCTATTATTCCATCTTGCAACATATTTTCATATTTCATATTTTGGCCTTGCTTATGGTGTTCCTTGAAGAAACAAAAAAATATCAAAGTTTTCCTTGTGGTGGAAAAGCCTGGAACAGGCTTCATTTTTCAAGTCATTTTATCTTAACTTTGAGCGAGGACCAAGAAAGGAGGAACTTGGCCATTGATACACCCACCAAAAGGAATAAATAAAACACAGTGTGGTGATGAAAGACCTGTTGTGTGAGAACAAAGAGATGAAGAGCAGTGATCAATGTGGGAACATTCTGTGAACTGCCAGGAGAAAACTCAGGGCTGGAGGGCACTGGGCTGTCTCCAAACACCTCCTGGCAGGGAAGGGCTGTCACCGTGGTGGGAGCAGGGTGCAAGGCAGTGCCATTTGAGCACGCTGTGGTTATAAATGAGAAACTCAGTGGATCCTGCTCTGCTGTGGGGCCCAGGAGGCTCTTCCATCACTGACACCGTGGGGAAATGGAGTTTCAAAGCACAGTTGCTGCAAGGCTTTCCCTGTTACTCACAACCTGCACCCTGACAAGCAATATCCATCTCCTGCCCGACAGGCCAAGTTTAACCATGACACCAGCACAGCACGAAGTGTGAGAGGATGTGATTCCTCCTCTTTACCCAACCACTGAGGGTTATTCCTCCACTCCCCCTCCACTCTTCCAGCTCGCCAAAACGGTGCTGGGTCCCTCCCAGACCAATAGATCAGACCAAGCTGCCTCTTTATCACTGGGCTCATTGGTCAGGTTACACTGACCTGGTAACCAAACCCTCCTTGCACCTCACCACCAGCTTTGACCCCATTTTGGCCCAGTTTTAACTCAAACATGGTGTGGTCCCTCCTGCCCACGTAGCTGCCATGGGGCTGAATATCTCCCAGGAATGCTTCCCAGACTTTGGCCATCCAGAGCTGTAATTGGAAGGAAACATGATTAATCAGGGAGCTGCTGTATCTGGCCAGCCTCAGCATCTCTGGAGCAGCAGTGGAGAGGGCTTTGCTGGGATCTGCAGGGCACTGAATCATCCTCACAAACTGATAGCAGCTCCTTTGATTTGTTCATGTAAAAGGCTCTAAATCTTACTGTGTTTGCTTGGAGTAACACAGAGAGAAGCAGATGGGAAAATCCACATTAATGTCTCAGCCCAGGGCAGGGGTCACTGTAGGTGCAGGGTCCAGGCTTGTCCTCACCTCCTTGTGCCTGCCATGCAGGCACTGCCACCTCCTCACCAGCACAAGGGCGTGGAGGTCTGAACTCTACACTTGCTCAAACCCAATGAATTTGAGGAAAGGCAGCTGGGAAGATCTTTCTCCTTTCTCCCTTATTGAGCAATGAGACATTCATCAGCTATTCCAGCATCTGTGGCCAAGACAGGAGCAGGAATAAGAGGAATAGGAAATGTTGGGGTGTTCAGACTCCAAACACAAGGAAACCAATGCCAAGCTGACAGCCTGGACAGAGCAGCCACATTGGGCAGACCCATTCCCCGTTGCTTTGCCATAAAAACATGAGCAGCCCTGGCCTGCTCCCACACACTCCGAGATGCTTTCCAAGAGCTCTGCTTCCCCCACAGCCCATGTGGGATGAAGCAGTGAGGAGGGAAATGCTTTCAGTGTTGATACCATGGCCTGAAGCTCCTCGAGAAGGAGGGGCTGCTCACCTTGCAAGCACCAGCCCCGTCAAGACCTGCCAGTCTGTCCCCAGCTGACCTGACAAAACCCCCCCGATGCAAAAGGCACTGCTCCAAGAGATGGAGAGGCCCCCAAAATGCATGGGAAAACCAGGATCAGCTGATGTTACCAACCAATTCCATGCTGGTTGCTTTGTGAGGCCAGGTTGACACAGATACCCTCTTAAAATGGCACCAGTAGGAATTACCTCACGTAGCTCAGGGTGCAAAATTGGAGCCAGGTATTTGGGAGGCAACAAATTCTAAGAGCAGAATTTTTGATGGGATATCCACTCAAACTGCCCCATTCCATCCTCTGCAAGGGTCAGGTGGGGATCACCACACTGAAGATGTGCATAAATGGGCAAACCAAGCCCCATGCCTTGTGCTTTTGGGGGAAGGATGGTCTCTTGGCTGCCTGGGAAACACATGATCTTTCCCCTCCTTCAGCTGGTGTTGGATATCAGCCTGATGTGATTCTTTGGCACAGTTTGCTGTGTCCAGCTTCACGAGGTGGCAGCCAACATAACCCATGGGAAATTCAAGCCACTGCCCAGCAGGGCAGGTCAGTGACTGTGAGAAATGGGGCTCTGCCAGGACTGGTCCCAGGCTCGCCTCCCCTCCTCCTCCCTTCCCACACCCCCAGCTCCACAGCGAGACAAAGCCATGCCAGCAAGTACAACTGCCAAAGAAAGGAAGGGAAAAGAGCACAACTTATTCCAGCCCTTCACTCCTGAGGAGTGCCTGGCTGCAGCTGCACGAGGAGTTTTGTTGAGTCCCCAGAGATGCTGCTGCCAGGGGATGGATGCTCAGGGCTGGCTCTGAGAAAGGCAGAGGAGACATGGCCAAACACACAGAACAGGTCTCTCCAGGTGTGACAAACTCAACATTTTTATGCAGTGGGAGTCCAGAGCCTGTTGGGCTCTTTGTG